CTCTCTTTCCCTGGGGCTGGCTGGACTATAAGGATGAAGCTGCCATCTTATCTTCACATGAGAAGAGCTTGCCTAAGAATATAGCCACACTGAGGCAGGCAGAGCAAGAGGGGGAGAAAGACAGATCCCTACTGTCGCAGCTGGATCCAGCTGTGCCTGAAGCTAGTTACACGGACCAATAAATAACCTTTGAGCTCAATATCAGTGTGATATGGGTGTCCACTACTTGCAATCCCAGAAATTTTGCCTGATAGCTCCCTGTGCCTCAGTATCCTCTGGAATGTGGGCATCAGATCCCCAAAGTCCCCAGCATACTGTTTTCACAGGAGGTGTCCCCATCCCTCTCAACATCCTCTCTGTCCCTGCCAAGCAGAGCCTTGCATCCACTTACGCCCCCGAGTTGACGTGGAAGGATCCCACTTCATTGCCATCCCAACCCATGGCCTGGAGGGAGGGGTAGTCATCACTCAGCTCTCCTTTCTTGCCCAGGAAGTTCTCTTGCTCAAAGATGGTCAGCCTCGAGTCGCGGTGGTTCTGCAGGTACAGGGAACAGAGTCAGAGCATCGGGTCCTCAGTCGGAAACCCAGGAGCCTCCGCTGGCCCCTACACCCCTGTTCTTGTCTCCAAAATCAGCCTTCCTTGAAACTTTCTGGAAGGACAGTAAGGCAACAGGCACCAGAAACCTTACAAGAGGTGTACTGCTTGTCCTTCCAGAAATTCCTGTTTCAGAAATTTACACAAAGAAGATAACCAAGGAGAAAAGAAGCCTTGTTGATAACAGGAGGGGGCGGGGGAGGGAAGGGAAGGGGGAAGAGAAGGGAAAAAACAACCTGAATACCCGATAACAGAGGATCAGGTACACTGGGATATTGCACTACGGTTAAGAGAAGGGTGTGGAGATCTGGGATCGAATCCTGACTCTCCACTTAGCAGCTGACTGAGCTTAATCTTCTAAAGAAAAAAAGTATGGGGACTTCCCTGGTGGTGCAGTGGTTAAGAATCCTCCTGCCAATGCAGGGGACACGGGTTCGAGCCGTGGTCCGGGAGGATCCCACATGCCGCGGAGCAACTAAGCCCGTGCGCCACAACTACTGAGCCCGCGTGCCACAGCTACTGAAGCCTGTGCGCCTAGAGCCCGTGCTCTGCAGCAAGAGAAGCCACCGCAATGAGAAGCCCGTGCACCGCAACGAAGAGCAGCCCCCGTTCGCCGCAACTAGAGAAAGCCCTCGCGCAGCGACAAAGACCCAACGCAGCCAAAAATAAATAAATAAATTTATTTTTTAAAAAAACCAAAAACACGTCACACAGCATTTCTGAGCCTGTTTCCGCATCTCTAAAATGAAACTAACCACGTCTGCTTTTCAGGATTGTTTTGAGAACGAAATGAAACCAGAAGTTGTAAACTGGGTAAAGGTAGGGATTGCATCTGTGAGAGTCCTTCCGAGTCCCCGCATTGGCGCAACGCCTGGGCCGTTTGTGAAACAAATGAACATTCACCAAATGATATACTAGGGCGCTATGGAAAATGATGCCATAGGTGAGATTTAATCATCTGGGAGAGTGATTGTGATATACTTGCAGAGGGAGAGAAGCTGGTTTCCAAACTTTAGGTTCGTTATGATTCAACTTTTATAACCGAGTGATACGCATGTATAGATATATAGATATGGATGGATATACAGATCTAGACATAGATACTGATATCAACACTGCAGATATAATCTGTGGGTACCATATAAGACCAAGGAAATCTCCAGCACTGATAACAGTGAGCTTTTGTCTCAGAGGTGTGGGTATAAGTGACTTTTATTTTCTTATTCGGCCATATCAGGTTTTCCCCTGAACTTTAGGTGATAAATATGTGTGCCATGTGATTTAAAATCCATAAAAGTTGTTTTTGAAGGAAAAAAAGTACACCTTTCCAAGCCTCAGTTTTTTCATCTGTAAGATGGGAGTAATAATGCCCACCTCCACCCATACTCTGTAAACAGTAGCAAAACTTTAAAATCAAGAACACTGATAATGAATTAGGAACAAGAAATAGAACGCTTCTTTCTCACTTGCCCTGGCACCCAGACTCTCCCACTGTCCCTCAGTCATGAAAAGAAGGACACAGAACACGGAGGAGCTCATATTATAACCAAAGTTGCAATGGGCAGAACGTTTGTGGACGGCTCTGTCCAGATGCTATACGTACATCCTTTTACCCCACAACATAGGTACTACGGCCCCATTTCAAGATGAAGAGACTGAGGCCCAGGGGAGGGACTGCCACCTCACACAGCTTGAAGCAGTGACATGAGAATTTGAACTCTGGGACATCTGGTTCCCAAACCCCCACTGGAGGGGCTCAGGCCACCCCAGGCTCAGGCAGTGGCAGGACTCACAGCGCAGGCCACGGGCCGGAAGGAGGTGAGCCTCTCGGCGGGGTAGGACGTGTTGCCACTCCAGGCATCCCAGGACGGGTACTCACCCCGCTCCAGCACATACTGCTGCCCTTGGAAACCGGCGTGCTCAAAACCCACCCACCTGCGGACAGAGGGTAGAGAGTGCAAGAGGTTAAGAGGCCCCCCACCCTGAGTTCTAGACCAGTGGTTATCACGCAGGGGTGACTTTGTCCCCCAAGGAGGCATTTAACAATGTCTGCAGGCATTTTTAGTGCTCATGCTGGGAGGAGGGAGCAGAGGGTTTTGCAGCTGGCATTTAGTGAGTAGAGGCCAGGGATGCTGCTAAACATCCTCCAATGCACAGGACAGCCCCCCAGCACAGAATTACCAGCCCCAAACATCCAACCTGTTGACATGGAGAAGTCCAATCTAGACCTAGTAGCCCACTGCCTCGCTGTGCATACTGTAGGTAGGGGACCGGCTCCATGCAGGTAGCTGGCACTCTTGCACGTGTCCCTCTAGGCCATGTAGATGAGGCTTGACCACATGCTGACTTGGCCATCTCATTACTCTCTCTCTCTCTCTCTTAACAAAACATATCTCATGCTCAGAGCCTCAGTCAAGCAACAATGTTCAACTACAGAATGCTAGTATTTTTTTTTTTTTTTTACTATATTTATAGTTACCTTCTACTTTTGGTGAGTGATATTGGCTTTTGATTTGTGCCTAAGAGGGACATTTCAGATCCAACACTGGGTTCTAAAGGTCTGCCCCCGCAGGGCTGCCTCATCCAGTGGGAAGGCTCTGTGTGAATGGCGCCCCTTACATTTGAGCAGTGCACAACCTGCACGACCTTACACTGCCATCCTGCACACTCCCCAGCATCTCAGACCCAAGGAAGGCACACTGGTACAGTTAGAGCCTGGGAAGATTAACACCTAGAACATCTAAAAGTCCCAGCACCCCTCTCTAGATCACTTCCTGTCTCCCCCACCCCGATTCCAATCCCCCTGGACTCACGCTCCACTCAGCACTTTCAAAGATCGCACAGTCTCAAAACCAAGCTCCAGCACACTGGGGCACTCAGCTGTGAACTCGTGCCGCCGGCCTTGGAAGCCCTCCTCATCCCACACCACGATCTATGCCGGAGAGAAAAGGTGGAGACGCGCATCAGAGTCCCGTGAGTGGTTAGGGCTTCACCCCAGGACTCAGGGTGGGGCAGATCAGGTAAAGCAGGGATTGCAGACTCTCATGCCTCCAGGGGCCAGGAAAGGAGTGTGAGGGCTGAGGACCCAGAGCATGGGCCCTGTGGAAGTGGGTGGCATCTGCTCAGCGCCACCTACTGTTGCCACATGACAATGCGACCAACTGTTAAATTTCCGAAGACAACCCCTATATCTGGACTTTTCTGTGGACCTTCCATGTTTTCAAAGGCTGATGACAAATTCAAAGGTTGGGTTTTTTTTTTCTTCTCTTTTTTAACACAGAGGAAGTCAAAGAAATCATGCCCAGAGACTGTGCAATTACCAGTTTGCCATCTCTGCCAGAGAGACCGTTGAATTTGGGACCGTAAGACACAAGTTCAAATCAAGACCCCAGTGTGTGAACTTGGGCAAGACCCTCTCCCTCTTGGAGCCTTGATTGCATCCTCTGTGAAATGGGCCCTCGTTACCGCCCGCCAGGGGTGAGGTGGGGATTCAATGAAGGTGGGGGCGGTGGTCCCCAGGACCTGGGTTCGACCTGTGCCCTCCCACTTCCCAGACATCGCCCCCTTCCCATGCCTCTTCCTACCTTCCAGTGTCCCGCTGACTTGGTGCACTGCAGAGACATGCTGCTTGTTTCCTACACAAGAGAAGAACACGATAAGCTTCTGCCCTGACTCTGCTCCCCTCCTTGAGGCTGAAGTCTAGTTTGGGCTGATTGGGATCCAGATGGGGTCCAGATGTGCCTGAGGTCGGGGGCAAAGTGCGGCTTTGGCCTGTCCCTCTCCTACCCTTTCCATCTGTGACCAATACCATCTCCTTTTCTTCCATCCTACCGCTATCTCAAAATGGACCCATTCTGGGCCCCATTCCTCTAAGCCCTGCTCTGTATTGTTTTATCTGCTCACTGTGGGAAATTTTCTGTGGCTGCTGGTGGGCGGATGTTTCACCCCAGGCAAGAACCAAGGTGCTCAGCTTAAGAGAGCCTCCCAAAGACAGCACCTGACCCAAAAAGGGAACTCTAATAGTGGAAGTTGAGGCAACAGGATTGCAGGAATAAGTCTGGTTTTAAACGGGGGTTGCAGGTACTGGTCTTGATGTCTGGATCCTAGTTAGGATGCCTTGGTTAGGATGAGGGTGGCATTCGGGATGGCACAGTGATGTCCCCAGGATTGGGGGCCTGGGCTCCCCTCCCTCCCAGGATGCTCACCCAGAGCTCAGATCCCACTCCTTCTCCGAGCCTGGGACTTACCGAGATGGACCCAGAGAACATGCCAGACCTGGCACCAGTGGAGGTCAGACTCTTATAGGCAGGGAGGAGAGAGGGCCCCTGGGGGGACAGAGCCCTGACTCAGCAAGCAAGCAATGGGAACAAAAGCCAGCCCTGGCTGGAACTCCAATAGAGAGGTGTCAGCAGCATTGGCTTCGGCTGGGAGGGAAAGGTCAGGTTGCTCCCACTCAGGGATTACCCATGAAGGAGGCAAGAGGAGGAAGGTCTGCCTTAATCAGCTCCATGGGACTCCTGACTGGAGAAGGATAACAAGTGGTAGACACAGAGTCTAAAAACCTCGTCCTTCCTAGCTGTGTGACCTGGGGCAGGTCGTTTCCGCTATTTCTTCCCAGAAAATGGGACAAGAATAAACTATATCACAGGACTGGTGTGAGATTATGTAACATGCCTGGAACAGACATTCAACAAATGCCTATACGTTTCCCCCTCCCAGGTCCCTTCCTCTTCCAGTGGGAGCAATCAGGGTAGGCTTCATGGTGGAGGTGGCATTGAAACTAGGCTCTGAAGGGTGAGGAGGATTTGTACAAAGTGAGATGGAAGGAAATGCTTTTGCTAGGCAAAGCTGCAGAGGTAGGAATATGGGGCTGGTGGCCTGATGGTGCTGGAGTTCAGGGACCCTGAAGGAGAGCAGAGGGACACAGGCAGGAAAGGTGGCTGGGCTAGGGCCTCCAGGGCCCACAAAGCTCAGAGAGGAGTCCAGAGGGCTCTGTGGGCAGAATGAAGGAGCTGGCGGGTGTGAACATGCTTTGCAAACTGTACCGCACCTGCTGAATATCCAGGGTTTGTAGGATTCGCTTTGTGCGCCCTCTCCCCACACTCCCACCCTCTGAGTTGGCCTAAGAGGGGGCTTTCACAGCATGGGAAAGAGCATGGCTGGAAACCAGATCGCTCTGGGTGACCTGGAGGATGTCCTAGGTCAGCTCATGGCATCTAAAATGGCAATATTAGTTCCCTCCTGAGAGGGTTAAATGTAGCCCTATCAAATGCATAACTTTAATATTAGGTTGCCATGAAGATCAAAGGCTAAGAATGTAGGCTCTGTAGCCAGACTGCCCAGGGTTGTGTCCCACTCCTGTTGGCTGGGTAACCTTGAGTACGTTACTTAATCTCTCTGAGCCTCAGTTTCCTCATATGTAAAATGGGTATAACAAAGTAAATTGGGTTTAGCCTAAGAGATAGGGGCATTGTGAGGGTAAGTGTGAATTACACATGAACAGCACTTGCTGTTCCGGAACTTCGCCTGGAACATAATATTCATCATGTGTCTCCATCATCATTGTCATCATCATTGCTAATAAAAAAAATTACTATTGACACATCTGCACTCCCATGTTTGTTACAGCATTATTCACAATAGCCAAGAAGTGAAAATAACCTAATTATCCATCAATGGATGAGTGGATAAAGAAGAGGTGGTATATAGATATAATGGAATATTATTCAGCCTTGAAAAAGAAGGAAATCCTGCCATTTGTGACATCATGGATAGACCTTGAGGGCATTATGCTAAGTGAAATAAATCAAACAGAGAAAGACAAATACTGTATGATTTCACTTACATATGGTATCTTAAAAAGACAAAATCAGAGAAGTGGAGAGTAAAATGGTGGCTGCCAGGGGCTGGGAGGTGGGGGAAACAGGGAGATGGTGCTCAAAGGGTATAAACTTCCAGTTATAAGAATAACAAGTTTGGGGACCTAATGTACAACATGGTGATTATAGCTAATACGTATCATATACTTGAATGTTGCTTAGAGAGCAGATCTTACATGTTTCCCAACAACAAAATAAATGGTAACTATGTGATGGGATGGAGGTAGCAATCATTTTGTGATTTGTAAATGTATCAGATCAACATGTGGCACACCTTACACTTACACTATGTTGTGTGTCATTTATATTTCACTAGAGCTGGGGAACATGATTACCCTTAAATACAGGAGGGCATCGTTTTTGAGAGCTTGGGTTCAGGAGTTAAAAGGATGTGACTGGGACTTCCCTGGTGGTCCAGAGGTTCAGACTTCGCCTTCCAATGCAGGGGGTGTGGGTTCGATCCCTGATTCGGGAGCTAAGATCCCACATGCCTCATGGCCAAAAACTTAAATAAATAAGTAAATAAATAAAACAGAAGCAATATTGTAACAAATTCAATAAAGACTTTTTAAAAAATGGTCCCCATCAAAAAAAAAAAAAAACTTAAAAAAAAAGAAAAAGATGTGACTCCCAATTCCATTTTACAGATGAGGAAACAGGCTGAGAGAGGGGAAAGGGACTTGCGGCGGTTTCCTCATCTGCAAAGAGGATTAATCTCAGAGTCCCCACCATCATAACGAGGATTACAGGAGCCAAGTCAGTCAGATGCTCCCAGTGGAACCATCCAGCATGAGGCTGTGCACCCCCTACCTCTGCCCTCACTGGCTGGCAGCCCATTACCACAGGGATCATGGAACTGCCCCAGACATCTTGACCCTGAAACCCAGACCCGTGGGTGGCCCCTACCACAGGCATCTTGGCCCCCATTACAGTGGCTGCCCCATCCTGCGGTCGCTGGCCCCCTCCCAGGCCTTGGCCCAGGATGAAAGGCTGAGGGGGAGGCCAGGAAGTGAGGCGGGGGTGGAAGGCAGAGCTGGCCCCAGGCCACGGTGACCTCCAGGCGCAGCTGGGCTCCGCGGGGAATCTGGGTTCCTGGACCCCCATAGAAGAAGCAAAAACTTATGCAGAATCCCCTCTCCCCGCCCCCCCACCACCTGGGGCCAGGGAGTCAGACTGCAGGCTGGCCTGGCCCAGCAGCGCCCCTGGGTCCCTCCAGCCCTGGCTCTACTATGAGTTTGCCCTGTGTGACCTTGTTGAAGTCCATTGTTCTACCCGGGCCTCAACCTGACATCCGTCTCTCTCTCTCTCTGTCTGTCTCTCTCCCCATCACCGTCCATCTGCCCCTCTGTATGTCCATCTCCATCATCTCCCTTTCTCTGTCGCTCTGCACTTCTCCCAATCTGTCTCCCTGTTTCTCTCTCCCAACCTGGTTTCCCTAGCTCCCCCTTACCCTGGCCAGTTCCTGCCTCTGACCTCTCTGTACCCTAGTTTTGCTCATCTGCCAAATGAGTATAATGAAAGTGCCAGATAAGGTGGGTTGTCCTGGGAACTGACCAGAGGGCAGCGGTAATGCATTTAGCGCTAACTCACGGCCCCTTCTTTCCTGTGCAGCACCCCATAGGGACACCTGCGCCACTGATAACTGCAGACACGGAGGCCCTGAGGGATAGAGACTTGCCAAGTGCCACACAGTGCAGAGTGGCTGAGCCTGGACTCAAACCCAGGTCCCCTGCCTTCTGGGGGCTCCCCTTTTCCCTGCCCCAGGATTGGCAGCCAGCGGGGACCCTGTGGGCCCATCCCTGGCTGGGGTTTGCGAGAGCGGCATCCGGGCAGGGGCTGGGCAGAGGCGAGGCGATGTGGCTACTGGCCAGGGTTTCTGCTGTGCCTGCTGGGCTCACAATGGGAAGTGCTGCTCTTTGCAGGAACCCGGCAGGGTCAGGGCTCTGAGGCCCCTGACTCTCTGCCTGGGGCCTGCTGAGCCAGCTCCCCCTTTGTACCACAGACCACAGGGTCTGGTGTCTGCCAGACTATAAAATGGGGGGTCGGCCCCTCGTCACCCACTGCACCAGCCTGCCCTCCTGCCTGCCCTCCAGCAGGAAGTAGCAGGGCCCCAGGTAAGAGGGGACCCACCGCAGCTAAGAGCCCCAGGGGAGGGGAGGGGACAGGACAGAGGCAGAGAGGGGGAGGCAGAGAGATCAGGAACAGAAAAGAGTCAGGGAGACGGGGTAATCAGGAGAAAGGCAGCGAGAGACAGAAAGAGAGAAAAGATAAAAATAGAGACAGGGAGGGAGGAAAAGAAAGAGAAGGAAGACAAAGAACAGATAGAGAGATGCAGAGGTATAAAGAGAGCAAGATACTGGGGAGAGAAACAGAAAGAGAGAAGCATAGGCAGAGAGAGAAGTAAAAACAGAAATAAACAGGAAGGCAGCAAGAGGGAGGGGGAGGGGAAAGGGAGGAGGCGGGGGTGAGGGGGGAGAGGAGAGAGAGAATATTGAAGGAATGAGCACATGTCCAGAAAGGAAGGAACCCAACTACCATACGAGGGGAATGTTGATTCATAGACTGACTTGGCCGGGGTCAGGGTGGGGGTAAGCAAGCGCCTGGAAGCCACAGATGTGGCCCAGATGTGTGGCCTTGCCCATCGTGGGCAGAGCAACCCAGAGTCGCCGCAGTCTTTCTCAGGGGGAGATGCAGGGAGGGATCTGCTTGCCCCAACCAGCTCTTTCTTACAGAAAGTGTTCAGGAATCCACTGCAAGAGGGTCTTGATGATCTGTGCCATCAGGGGGTCCTGGAGCCCCCTGGAAATTGTCTCCAAAATTAAAGGGGGCATTTTTTTTCCCTGGGGACAAGGACAAGGCGTTCTTCAAACACTCAAAGGCATCCATGACCCCAAAGTAATGAGGAACCACTGGAATTGACCGAAGTGCTCTCCACCCAAAGCCTACACAGCCACAGCCTCCCTTTAGAACCCTGCCATGGGCGAAACACGTCCTCCTGGAGACTCCTTTACGCCCCAGTCTCAGGCCTGTGTCTGCACCCACACACCCGTTCCCAGGCAGTACCAGAGGCAGCAGTTTGACTGGGAAAGGAGGGAGGAACATACATTCATGCAATCTCTGAACAGATGTTAATTGAGCATCTCCTGTGTGTCAGGTGCTGAGCCAGGTGCTGGGGATGGAAGGATGAATCGATCCGAATAAGTAAATGGCAAAGCCCAGTTGCTGGGTTTGTCTGCTTGCACTGAAATTGGAGTCCTACCACTTAGTAGCTATGTGGCCTTGGGCAGGTCATCCCACCACCCCCACCACCCCCACCAGACTCAGATTGCTCAGAGGAGATAAGAGGTTAGGGTGAGGGATGGATGCGTTCATTCATGAATGTAACAGAGCCTGGCCTCCCTTAGGCTTTCCCAAACGGGACTTCTTGCTATGAATCTGCTGAGGCAAATTGAGGCTGCCCAAGACAAGAAGCATGATAAGTGGTGAGAAGCATGATAAGTGACTCCGGGGGGCGCAGAGGAAGGACATAGCAGGGGGACAGCGAGGACACGGCTTGGTGGAGGCACCGGCAGGGTCTGAAGCCTGGAGAAAAGCATAACAGGCATGAGTGGTCCCCAGACAGGAAATCCTTGACGGCAAAGGGAGATGGGGACAGAAAACTTCCAGGCTTCTGTTTTAGATGGAGAAAGACTAGATGAATTCAGAGAAGCCTGAGCACACAGGGTGATGGGGGATGAGAGCCGGGGAGGCAGCTTGGGGGCGCCATCCCTGACTGAACCCAGGCCGAAGGGTTCTTTACAGACTTTTGCAGCTGGGAACCATGTCTCAGCCAGCGGCCAAGGCCTCGGCAACAGCTGCGGTGAACCCAGGGACTGATGGGAAGGGCTCAGCCTCGGGCTCCGGCCCCGCCCAGGCCCCAGCCCAGCGGGTGCCCGCTGCCAAAGGGGACCTGCCTCCCGGGAGCTACAAGGTGAGGACCTGGGGGCGGGGTGGCTGAGCTCCACCCCGCGCTTCCTCTCCCTCCTCCCCTTACCCCTCCCCTCCCTCTTCCTCCCCCTCCTCCGCTCCCCTCCCCGCCAGTCTGCGCAACCGGCTTGCACCTGCTTACAGTTTGTCGCATGCAAGAAACAGATGGAGGAGAGAAAGCGGGCTGGCTTAGCAGCAGGAAACGGCTGTCGCAGGAGGTCCTCCAGGGCAGAAGGCCGGCCTCACACCCTCTTGAAAAGTGTTCCAAGCGGTCGGTCAGGCTGAAAGGGCTCCTGGAAAGCGAGGCATCCGGTCCCTTCGGATTGGGTTGGGTTGGGTTTCAACCTCGGGTGCACAGAACTGGCTCATTTCACCACCCTTGGTTCATGACAGGCTGTCATGCAGTCCGCCCCTGGCCAGATTTTATTTATGTAGTCGCTTATTTAATGGTTAATTTCAATTTAATTTTTAATAATACAACACGCACCTGCAAACCCACCACTTGTGTGAAAAGCCAGGACTTGGCAAACATCCTCAATCTAACCTCAAAGTGTTGCCGCCCCACTCCGTTCCCACCTCTCCAGCCGCCTACCTGCCCCACACCGTCCCGTGAGCCCACCTCCTTCCTCGCCTACGCGAGGCAACTGCCATCCTCACCCGGTCCATCATCTGCTTGCTTGCTTTTTTATGTGCTTTGATGCATTGTTCCTTTAAAAGTATATATGTGTATTTTATTTGTTTTTAACTTACTGAAATATACCATATGTAATCTTTCTGGATTTTTCATTTTTCTTCCTATGAGATTTCTTTTTACTTGCTATGAGATTTCTGATAGTCACTGATACTGTTGTGCATTGCTGTGGGTCATTCGTTTTGGTTGCTGTGTGATGTTTCAGACTGTGACTGTCACTCCTGGGTGATTGGTAACTTTGCTGTCGTGAAAGGCTTGGTCAGGGTTTTCTCAGCCATGTCTCCTGCAAGAGTTTCTCTTGGGCAGATAAGTGTAGGAGTGGAAGGGCTGGGTAAAGGGTATG